GACGAGAAGTACCTCGCCAAGCGCAATGTCGCCGCTCCCGCCAAGACGGATGACGGCAAGAGTGACCCCCTTTAGCATCAGCGTCTACACTCTCAAGGAACTCATCCTCAGGGAATGGCGCGAGGAGTGGGATGCCAAGCCCGCGAGCCCCAGCAGCATTCGCCTTATTCACTTTGGAAAATTGCTGGACGATAAGGACCAGCTGAAGCGTAAGTCTCTGCTTTTCTTATTCTCTTCGTCGGAGGTCTGTCAATGGCACGGCTTAGGTATGCCAGGCCCAATGCTCGTGGATTGACTAGTGCTCGGCCTGCACGAGTGCCATCGTCATCGCTGGCTGTCCCAATGCCCTCGCCGTGTCTGGTTGTGAAACTGTCCCACCCGACTGTCAACTTCTTTCATGCCCCGTGGTGAACTTGCTGACCTGTCCAGAATACTCCTTCAGCGCAGAGACGGCCAACGTCGTGCACATGACGGTGCGCCCCGCGGACCTGATTGAGGAGGAGGAACCCAAAGGCGGCAGCAAGTCGACTTCTGGTGGTCGCTTGAGCGGCCAGGGCGGTGGCTGCTGTGTTATCTTGTAAACGACTTGCCTTGTCTTGGGCTCACGGAGCGGACGGGCACATCTCGGATGGGACCATCTGCAGCCGCTCTTTTCGCGAAACATGTTCTACAAGTGGAAGTATTTCCCTGGGTACTAGAACAACACTGCTTCTCTGTCGAGGAAACGATGCTTCTGAACGGCAAGCCTCTCATTCGAAGAGAGGGAACGCCTCTTTTGGAAGCAAGGCAATCTCGTCATTCCTGGAAAGGCAATGGTAGACAAAGTGTAGAGAAAGACGACGGAGAGGGAGACAGAGAGAGGACGGCACGTTCGGCAGCCCATGACGGGCTTCCTACGGAGCCCGGTTTTCCGCTTGCATTGATATGTCGTGCCCCGCGCGTGTCTGCCTCGGTTGGGATTGGAAACAACGGGAGAGGCAGCTGGAAGGTCGGCGTTACGGAATCCTGTTATTTTTTTCTTGGTTGTGATCATCATCTGTCCTTTTTGTTCCGTCTTGTTTATTTCATGTCATCCCTAAATGCCCTCGGTCGTGTTCATTCTCTCCTTACAACACGCTCGAGTCCATGTTCATAGCAGCGAAAGAGGGGGGGGGGGGGGGGGGAGAAAGGGTGGTCCACCAGCGAGAAGTCAATTTAGTTTAATGTGCTCATGGCCCTCAGCCTCTCGAATGCCGTTTCTGTGCTGTCTCGGTTCACAGCCTTTATTGCTGGCTCAACACGTTGTGACGCCACGAACCGTTCGGCAGTCGTTGTGCCGGATATCGTACATCTGTCTGTCTGTTTCTTGCTCTCCATACCCGTCTCTACATCTCAGCTTCCTCTCCATCTCATCATGGATGCCCACACCGGCGGCAGAACCCATGCCCTCATCACCAGGGGACACATTCTCCCACCAAAAGCTCACGTCCTTGCCCAGGAAAGACTCCCCCTGATGGACGAACTTGACGTCACCAAAGGTGAAGGGCGCCAGGAGACACACGAATGAAGACGGAGTCTGTTTAGTGGGATGGGCGTCCG